CTAACTTGTGTGTGTCTCTTCATTTTTAACAAAAAAAAATTAAAAAGTAAAAATGACATGGGTCAAAAAATTGAAAAAAATAAAAATTTTATAGGGCAAAGAGTTACAGTAAGCTAAGATTAACTTATTATTGAAGGAAAAACTTTTTATAAATTTAGTGAGCTTGAGTATACAGTGTATGTGAAGTAGTCTGCAATAGTGTCCGAGGCCTTCATAGTCACTCTCCACTCAGTCACTGACTCAGCCAAAGCAACTTCTTGTCCTAAAAGCTCCGTCCATAAGTACCCCATACAAATGTTCCATTTTTACTAATCATTTATACTATATTTTTACTGTATATTTTCTATGTTTAGATATGTGGATACTTAACATTTTATCACAATTGCCTATAGTATTCAGTACAGTAATATTCATTATAGATTTGTAGCCTGAGAGCTCTAGGCTATATCATATGGCAGTGATTTTTAACTAATGTGCTGTGGTACACTGGTGTGCCATGAGAGGATCTTTGGTGTACTGTGAAAATTTTTAAAGATCATTAATTATTTTTGAAAGAAGTTCAAAGCACAATAAGTATATTCTTTTTCTCTATTCTTTTTTTTGATCAACATAATTTAAGTGTGCCAAAGAAGTTTAACTGTAGGTTCAAGTGTGCCATGAGATTAAAAAGGTTGAAAGCATTGCCCTAAAGCTTAGGTGTGTAGTAGGCTGTACCTTCTAGGTTTGTGTATGCTCTGACACTCACCTAACAAAGCATTTTTGAGAATGTATCCCTGTCATTAAGTGAATCATGATTGTATATTTGCTTTGCAGACCAGTGAAGAAGTAGTGTCTTTGATGACTTGCCTGAAGGTTCCCAGGCAGTCTCAGAGAAATGTCACTTATAAGTCAAGCCCTAATCAGAAATTGCCTGACTCTCTGGACTGGAGAGAGAAGGGATGTGTTACCGAAGTGAAATACCAGGTGAGCATTATCATTCCAAGCTTTTGCACCCTTGGTAGAGTCTTTTTCTTTATAGGCTTACTCTAGCTCAGTGGTTCTCAACCTTCCAAATGCCACGATGTATTTTCATTGTTACACAGGTGTTGTGACCCACAGTTGAGAACTGCTTGCTACATAATCTGGGAGTGAATCTCACAGTCCCATATGTTACTTTCTAATTATTTTTGTTATTCTTTTTTTTTTTTTTAGAGACAGAGTCTCACTTTATCACCCTCAGTAGAGTGCTGTGGCATCACAGCTCATAGCAACCTCCAACTCCTGGGCTTAGGCAATTCTCTTGCCTCAGTCTCCTGAGCAGCTGGGACTATAGGCACCAGCCACAACGCCTGGCTATTTTTTTTTTTTTTTATTTGAGACTGAGCCTCAAGCTGTCACTCTGGGTAGAGTGCCATGTCACCACAGCTCACAACAACCTCCAACTCCTGGGCTCAAGCGATTCTCTTGCCTCTACCTCCCAAGTAGCTGGAACCACAGGCGCCCGCCACAAGGCCTGGCTATTTTTTTGGTTGCAGCCGTCATTGATATTTGGCAGCCCGGGCTGGATTCGAACCCACCAGCTCAGGTGTATGTGGCTGGCGCCTTAGCCACTTGAGCCATAGGCGCTGAGCCCCGGCTATTTTTTTGTTGCAGTTTGGCCAGGGTTGGGTTTGAACCTGCCACCCTCGGTATATGGGGCCGGCACCCTACCCACTGAGCCACAGGCACCACCCTATTTTTGTTATTCTTGTGCTTCCAACTAAATTATAAGCTCCTTAAAGGCAAGGATCACATATCAAACTTCACCACAATTGGCCTTCCCTATCAGTGGGCTCCACATCCATGGATTCAACTAACCATGAATCAAAAATACCTAGGAAAAAGATAACAATACAATAATTTAAAATAGTATAAATTTTAAAACAACTATTTACCTAACATTTACATTGTGTTAAGTGTTATAATTAATCTAGAGATGATTTAAAGTATATGGGAGGATGTGCATATGTTATATGCAAATACTGCTTCATTTATATAAGGGACTTGGGCATCCATGGATTTTGATATCCTCAGAGGTTCTGGAACCAATTCCCTGTGGATCCTGAGAGATAACTATATTCCCCAGAGTGCTTTTTTCAGTGGTTAAAGAGCCACCTTAGACAAAAAAATAGGTCTTTGAGACAGACTTTTAATAGTCATGCTATCCATTGGCTGCACTGGACCCTCCATCAAGCCAGCTGCCTGAGAAGCAGTGTCATGTGAGTGAGAGAGCTTTGTTCCAGAAGTTTCTCTATCTCACTCATAAATTCCAGGGTTGAAGGAGAGGAAAGAACTGGAGCTGAAGTGGCCTATAAATAATACCTCTCAAGTTAATCTATGGCTAGGCTTGCATTGCTAAAATGAGAAATGTGTGCCTTGTAAAAACAACTACAAAAATCCTAAAATAATTAAGAGATAATGAAGGGTAAAACACATGTTTTGCCTTAGTGGTCAGGGTATGGGAGAAGAATCAAAGCATTCTGAGCAGCTGCTTCAGCTTGTGAACAATGAAGAAGGTAAAACATTTATTAAGAAGTAAATAGTGGCTAGGTGCCTGCAGCTCAGCCGCTGGGGCACCAGCCACGTACACTGGAACTGGCGGGTTCGAACCCAGCCCAGGCCTGCCAAACAATGACAGCTACAACCAAAAAACTAGCTAGGCATTGTGGCGGGCACCTATAGTCCTAGCTACATGGGAGGCTGAGGCAAGAGAATCACTTAAGCCCAAGAGTTTGAGGTTGCTGTGAGCTGTGA